TACAGGCAAATAAATTATAATGTAAATACAAAAGCGTACTTTCATGCCTTTCACGAAGTCATGTATGGCCTGATGGAAATAGAATTCAAGAAAGAAAAAAAAAGATTGTATGCAAATTCAATCAGATTTCTTGGAAAGTCAAAAAAACAAAATTAGAGAGTTTCAATTTTATAGAACATGTTTGTTTGTTTGTTTTGTTTGAGTTAAAAGAAGCACACTGACAAAATAATGGTCATTTAGTGATGTGAAAAATAAAATAGACAGACAAACAGACAGACAGAACCAACAGAGGGAAAGTAAAGAAGTACGACCAACCAGTGGCACCCTCAAACCACCTGCTGGGAGACCTTGAAAGACCTGACGATCCACCAAGGTGAGATATATTGCAGCGATACAGTGAACCTATCGCTGTGTAAATCACACAAACTTCCACGAGTCGAGAAAAAGTATCCAAAGTGATCCATGTTAGTGTTAGTTGAAAAGTGTAAACGTTCAAATACTATAGTTGGTCGCTTGTAAGCACAAGGAGCTATCCCAAAAAATGTTGTTTTGAGAAAATCGAAAGTTACGTTTTTGCTTCTTGTTTGGTTTCTTTAAAAGACAAGGAGAGTTTTCTCCATAACCAAACAAATATACACACCAGTGAAACCAAACTTTAAAAGACAAGGAGAGTTTTCTCTATAACCAAACAAATATACACACCAGTGAAACCAAACTTTAAAAGACAAGGAGAGTTTTCTCTATAACCAAACAAATATACACACCAGTGAAACCAAACTTTAAAAGACAAGGAGAGTTTTCTCTATAACCAAACAAATATACACACCAGTGAAACCAAACTTTAAAAGACAAGGAGAGTTTTCTCTATAACCAAACAAATATACACACCAGTGAAACCAAACTTTAAAAGACAAGGAGAGTTTTCTCTATAACCAAACAAATATACACACCAGTGAAACCAAACTTTAAAAGACAAGGAGAGTTTTCTCTATAACCAAACAAATATACACACCAGTGAAACCAAACTTTAAAAGACAAGGAGAGTTTTCTCTATAACCAAACAAATATACACACCAGTGAAACCAAACTTTAAAAGACAAGGAGAGTTTTCTCTATAACCAAACAAATATACACACCAATGAAACCAAACTTTAAAAGACAAGGAGAGTTTTCTCTATAACCAAACAAATATACACACCAATGAAACCAAACTTCTCCTATACATTTAGTCCTATACGAAGGGCAATGCCTACTTTTGGTGTAGGTCAAGTTTTCTGGAAACCCCAGAAATCTGGGTTAGCCTGCTTGTCCTAAAAGCGACCAGTTATAGTGCGAGAAAAAATTTGTGGCACAACTTATTGTCAAATATTTCATAAACTATCGCACACAGACGCTCCAACTTCCCTCAATGACTTGTATCAATTTATCTTAACAGTTAAATATTTATGTAAACACCTGCTAGCGGTACTCTGGAAAATTCATTAATAAATACTAATAAAAAAAATCCAGGAGGGTGGTTTCTATATATTTTATAAGGTTTACAACTGGGGTAATATCCCTTTGTCAGTGTCACTGACATGCAAGCACTGAGACAGAATCTGCGCTTCAAACATAGGAAGAATTAGCCATGAAAGAAGCTGCATGAAGACAACCTTGAGACCATCTTAAGCTAAATTGACCGTCTGTATAGAGGAAAAGAGCCATATACAACAATATATAACATCCCTTTTCAAAGCAAGTCCGTCTTGTTTGTCTGACCGTGTCACTATCTTTACTGAATCATGTTTTGAGAACCTTTAGGCCAAAAAATGTGTTCTCTATCAAATCAATTTCTTGTAACAAGTTTTGCCACTAAAAAGTGTCATTGATGAGCTGTGACTTAGGCCATATGCCTATACAAATGTGTGTGAGAAGCGGGAAGTGCAGTGAATAATCCCATTTTCCGCGAGAAGGAGATTTGTAGCATTTCATATAAATTTATGAAGAAAAGTTTTTTAATCTAGCCCCAACTGTTCCGGAAAAATATGATTTGATTTCGTTAAGACAAATTGAGACAAACTGCGGTGCAAAGTGAGGTTGACGTTGATTCACCAGTTAAAAAAGAGATATTTGAGGATATGTCACGCCACGAAGAACAGTGTCATAATTGTATTTGAGAAAAAAACGTAAGGGGGGAAGTGGGATGTGGTCATTAGGACGGTGATTGTCTTGGACAGACATGACTGTTTGAGCAGGTTAAGTAACGACCAGTATATTTCACACAGTCCACCATGGACATATGGGAAGTGTGCTGACTAAATGAGTTACTTCCCGAATTCAAGCCTTATGGAAATAGGAACAGCATGCTTATAAGTGAAGTTTTACAATTTACAAGTAGGAAATAATACGAGGCATGTGATACATAAAAAAATAGAGCATCATTAGAAGATCTACTAATTTGACCTCGGTGTTGAGTTTTTGCCAATATTTCCATTTGTGAATTGCGAGAAGTAAGTCATTTTGTCAGCACGTCTCACATATATTATATCTATGTAGACTGGACACTCAGCAATCACAATATTATACGGCAGGTTTTCCTTCAGCAAAGCACAATAAAAGTATAGGGAAATCTTCACAGACAAAGGGAAAAAAACGAACACCGAAAGTGCATTACATATTTGTTGAATATAATTGGTTGCAGATCTGGCACTGGATGATGATGATGATGATGACCATTGGTTGCCTTACTGAGAACTCAATGTTTCATTAACAAGATATAATACAAACTCAGCCTATGGATTTGATTACGTATCATAGGGCTAAAATCCGAGACGTAACTCACTTTTTCAGCACGTCTCACATACATATTGTGTGTCACAACGTGGTGGAATTGGGCGCTCCTCAATTTGGGGTATATGGAGTTACTGGTATGATCTTAAAGCCTGTTTATTTGTCTTGCTTTCGGTGAAAAAAAAATAGCCATTTATCTTGAATAGAAGTCGAGATATTTGCGATTGAAGAAAGTGGGGGTCGCCTTGTTTCAGAGGTAAAATTAGCGAGAAAAAGTCCGCCAAAGTTTAGTGACTTCCAAATCTTGAGAGTCCTGGGAATTTAAACATTTTCTGTTTTCCTGCCTCTTATCAACGAGTTCCAGTAAAACGTACGTACGTATACATTCTTATATGAACATAAAAGGTGTTGAGAAGAGAAAAAAACCGGTAAAAATGACCAAATAGGGAAATGTCAATTTCTTTGATTGTTTTATTTTGACAAACGCCTGATTTCACCATGATGACTCTCAAGGGTCGCCAAGTAAACTACGGTAAGCCATGTTTTTCAAACTTTACAGGAAAGACAAAAAAAAAACAACAACCGGATTTTGTCGAAGCGTTTTGGGTGGATAAACTTCATTTTTATAAGGGAGCCTAATGTCTGTCATGGCATTTGTAGGCTCCCTATGAAAATGAAGTTAGTCCACCTAAGATGCTTCAAGAAAATCAGTTTCTTTTGTCTCTGCTGTAAAATTTGAAAAACATGACTACCTAAGTTTACTTGGACACCCTCGAATACACACATGTAACCACCAACACGTTGCTGTTATTCGTCCTTCGCATATGAAGATGACCGTGACTTCACAAATTCGCCTGTTGACGGTGACTGTGGGTCCAGAGATGGCTGATTAGTCCAATCCGGACACCAACATGTAGGCCAATAACGGCTCTCAGACTAGAGTAGTTCTTGTTTGCTGGAAGATAAGGATGAACAAAGCCACTTCAGGAAGAGCTGCGAGTTAGGTAAGTCATTCAACCGAGTCCATGAGCAGTTGGCGGATGCTCTGGTGTGGTTTGCTCCTTTCCTATCAAACGTCTATCCCAATCTTCACTCCTCCTTGTTTTCTTCGTACGTTACTCCCCATAAACGCCTCTGATCTTCGGCGCCTATATGTGACCTTATGGTGTTGCAAGTGCCGTAGAATTTTTGTACATAAACTACGTGTATATCTTTTTTAAAACAACAAAAAAAGAAAAAAGAAAAAAAAACTGAATTCGAGCTTGCTCATAGGGTAGGATTTCGTTCAATATCAGACATATTATTGATCAAATTATTCTCAAAAATTAAAATGTTTTCTTCTTTTGGTGAGTCAGAAATCCCACTCAAGCTGTAGCCAGTGGATGCCATGTTGTTAAGTTGTTATCCATCTAGCCAGTGGATGTGATGTTAAGTTGTTATCCATCTAGACATAGGATGCTATGTTGTCATGTTGTTACATCCCAGCAGACAGACCCGGGCTGAGAGGGATACAACATTCCAGCAGACAGACCCGGGCTGAGAGGGATACAACATCCCAGCAGACAGACCCGGGCTGAGAGGGATACAACATCCCAGCAGACAGACCCGTGCTGAGGGGGATACAACATTCCAGCAGCACAAAGTCCGATATACTTGAGAATTGAACTCGGGTCCCTTCCCCCAGTAAGCAACAGCAGAGTGCCTAACTATTACACATATAGAAATGCCGGGTGTGTGTATAAATAGTAACAAAGCACAGAGAGCAAGCTGTAAAGCATGTAAGAGCACAATATAAATGCAGTTATTATTATTGTTAGTATTATTAATAATACTATCATTATCATCTGTAAGAAATATGCTAATCCAACCAAAATATTTATCCTCATCACTCAATCCTGAGAGTCACAAGGTCATTTTTGCCTGAGAGAACGAAAAAAATGATCAATAGCCTATCACAACTCTAAATACAGTGAGCTAGAAAGTATAACAGAAATAAGCATCTTTTCCAGGACGTCATCAAAGCAAGCTTTCTTTTTTTTTCTAAGAAAGTAATAGTCATTGTCAATGAAACTCAGGCACGGAAAAACTACTAGCCCGTGGGCCAAATCTAGCCCGCGAGAAATTTCACTCGCTCCAGCCCACCAGGTGACCCCCTAATACTGAAACAAATAAAAAACTGTTCGTCTTGAAAATTAAAACTCATCATATCTGACCCAAATGGAAGCAATAGATATCCTTCATCTAACATTTATTCATCTAATGAAATGCCCTTGAGAAACATTTATACTGTAATGTCAGTTTTCGTCTCACTTCTGAGAACTTGGGTATTTTCAGCCGATTTCACTCAAGGGTCTCCTGCTTTGACCTGCAAGATATTTGGAAATCTTTATCAAGTCAACCACTTGGACAAGCTTGCTCATGCCTGATGTGACTGGCGATATTCATCCCAATATTTTATCCAGCATATACAAGAGTAAGTTATCTCGGTGGAAATTATCAGTGCTTACGGCGCGAACTTCGTCAGCTGTGACACCTTTCGCCGTGAACAAATCTTCCAGGCCGCGGGTAGAGTACAGCACCCCAAGGTCAAATCCACACAACAGCACACGCCCTCCCTGCCCGGAGTCACACATTAACACAGCCACTTTCGAAAGTCCTTCATCGACACAATGCGCAATAACTTCAGAGACGGTAGAAGATGCCGAAGCAGTTTCCGAGACGTGATCTCCACCAGGGTCGCGACACTCTTTCGGCATGTCGGCTTCTTGGACAACGACTGCAGATGGCGCTCCGTTCTTGTTGTCGCAGTTCTCCTTTGAATCATTGGAGGGATCAGACGAGGCGCTGGAAAGCTGGCATTGTCCCATCTCGAGAAACTGGAAGCACACAGGATTTGTGGGGAAGAGAAGAGAGTGGAGAGGGTTGGGGTGCAGCGAGGGGGCGCCAGGGGCACAAACTTGGTCGTTGTCCAGCCGGTGAGGTTCTCCGGTGGTGGTGGTGGCCAGCCGGGTGGACGTCGCTGAGGTTCGAGTTGTGTGCAGGTGTAAGAGACCCAGCTCTGGGTGGATGTGAGACGAAGCCAGGAGAGCTTTTCTCACCGGCACACCTGTTAAGGAAACAGTTATAATAGTAATAATAATAATAATTATAATAATAATAATAATTATAATAGTAGTAATAGCAAATCACGTTAATAACAGTAATGATAAAGCCAGCAGAGCTTTTCTCATACGTACAACTGTGGACCCAGAGAAGTTGGTTTATTTTTTTTAAAGTTGTTTTAGTAGAGCTTTTTCGGTGCTCACAACTGCATAAGATCATATGAGCGCCAGAAGATTAGAGGTGTTACAAGAGAGTACCAAACACAAAAAAGAAGAAGGGGAGATAAGGATGGTAGACGCTTGATAGGAAAGAAGAAGCAAACCACACCAGAGCACCCGCCAACCACCCACTTTTTGAAGTAGACAAATCAAAGCAATTCCATAAACTCGTAGAACAACAACAAAAAATAATGATTTAATAAAATTAACCCTCTCTATCTCCCGCAAGCCGCTCCCAGCAGCTCGCGGCCGGAACCTCTGTGCCAGTGAGTTGCTGACAACGGCTCGGTGCGGCACATTGCTTGACAACGACTTCCACATCAAATTACTTTTAGTTTTAGGCAATTGCCGAAAACAGGTCTCTTTTATCAGGAGTTCATTCATTAGATGAAGAACTATCAAAACAGGCTGACTTGTTTTCATTTAATGACCGATTTAGTGACCTTTTCGTCATTTGTAGATTTAGTATTAAAACAGATCCCCAGCCCAGTGAGTTTACCCCCACAGAGATAAAGAGTTAAATAAATTGGAAAAAAAAAAACCCAAACCCGACAACAAATTCCTACAAACATTAAACAAACTAACAAAAAAAACCCCAAAAAACCAAACAACAACAAATTCCTACCAACCTAAGACTTCCGCCATAAACTGAGACGCCGTGCCGGCAGCCATAACACGACCGCCAGAAGACAGAAAAATCTGGACGTTATCTCGGAGCACATCGGGCTGACTAGGTAGACTGGTCAGCAGCAGGAGAGAGCAGTTTTTGCACCAGTCCACTGTTCAAGGGAAACAACAGAAGCTGTTGGGGTTTTTTTAGTAAGAGTTTTACGGCACTTGCAACAAAATAAGGTCATATAAGTGCCAAAGATTAGAGGCGTTACAAGAGAGCAACAAACATAAAAAAGAAGGAGAGATCAGGACGATAGATGTTTGATAGGAAAGAAGGAGCAAACCACACCAGAGCACCCGCCAACCACCCACCTATTTAGTTTAGTTTAATTTTATTTAAGAAAACAGTTAGCATAATAATAATAATAAAAATAGTAAATCACGTTATAATAGTAATAGTAATGATAAAAATAATGATAACAACAACAATAATGATGATAATAATAATAATAATAATAACAATAACAACAATAATAAAAATAATAATAACAATATTTAACAATAATAATAATAACAATGTTATTATCTTGTTTGTTTTAGTAAAAGTTTTACGGCACTCACAACTGCATAAGGTCATAAGAGCGTGCGTATGTTATAATTAGTCTGAATGAAGAGAAACAGATCTACATAATAACAACAGTTATTTAGTGCGAGCACGATGTGACATTTATCTTATTATAATGGAGCTAAGCCCGTTTGTGAGGTCAGTATACATTTTTTACACAGGTGCCCATCAAATCTACAAAAATATGATTCAGTTAAGAATTGTCACAAAGGGTTACGTGTGGACATATTTTCAAAGTTCAAAAACTACCTTTGAATTTTTCAGGTTTATGGTTTTTACCTGTAAATCGAAACTCTCGGATGTTTTTACTCTGCCATTAGCCATTTCATATTTTACTGGGGACTACTTCCGTTTCGGTCCCGTGCTTCGTCGTGTGTGTGAGACAGCTGCTTCTATTTCCAGATCTAGAATCTCGATATCCAACTTTGTTTGGATGAGTGCTTCACAGTGTCGATGGATACTTCAGGCCAAACTTCATTGTATTGACTTTTTCTAGATACATTTGGCATAGTCATGTTCCCAACACGTTGAGTTCGTTTAGACACGCAAAATGTTTACTTCGTGGTATCGACGTTTTCAAAATTTTGGCGCGTATTTGGTGCATAGTATTTTTTAGAGCAAGACTTCAGATCTAGATCTCTCTGTATCCTAGAGATGTATAATTTGGAGTACATAATTCAAGACTCATTTGGAGTAGTTTGCAAGACAGAAGTGCCGTTTGTGCTTTGTGAGTGAAGGGTCATGAGTTTGAACCCTGTCATGGGGGCGATATTGTGTCCTTGCTAGAGGTATGCTGTATGACTTTTCCTCACTTCATCGAAGTCGGAATGGGTACCCGGTGATAACAGTAGGCTTCGGCCGCCATCCAGGCAAAATTCAAAATTTCCTACCAACTGAAAAAGTTTAATTTGTCCTGCGTGCTCATATTATGACACTTACCAAAAAAAAAAAAAAAAAAAAAAAAAAAAAAAAAAAAAAAAAAGACCATGAAAATTCAAAGTGGCAAAGAGTCCCACCTGATCGGGTGACGGAGGATTCGGGCACAAGGGAGACAACATACTGCGTGGTGTCGACCAGGGAGGTCAGCCATCGAGCCAGCGGCTGGGCCACGGTCTTCTCCAAGCTCCCTGTGAACACCACCATCAGTGTGCGGCTCACGCGCGGGCGTACGGTAAACTTGTCCGACCTGCCTTGTGTCACCTGCTCAGAGTTTTTCTCTGTCGAGAGATCCAGACAACCAGGTAGATCAAGCAATACAGATAATGCAGAGAAGTTTATATTCAGAGATGCCAAATGATTTTTAAAAATATAAAAAACAACCTGAAAATCAGCAAAGCATCACATCTCACCTAAGTTTTTAGTTTTTGTAGAGGTTTTACAGCGCTCTCAACTGCATAAGGTCATATGAGCGCCAGAAGATTAAATGTGTTACAAGAGAGTAACAAACATAAAAAAGAAGAAGGGGAGATAAGGACGACAGATGTTTGATAGGAAAAAAGAAACAAACCATACAAGAGCACCCGACAACCACACACACCACACTGAAGATTAGAGGTGTCAAAAGAGAGCAACAAACACAAAAAAGAAGGAGGGGAGATGGAGACGATAGATTTTTTTACAGGAAAGAAGGAGCAAACCACACCAGAGCACCTGCCAACCACCCACGTCAACTCACCTTTGAACTTAACTTCCCAGTTGCTGCAGATGTCCACAAACTCGGCGTCAGTCGACTTGCCGTCAGACGAGCACGTCACGGAAACACTGCTGGCCGGCTGGAAAAGATTCTGCGCCCTGAAGGCCTCCAGGTTCACCTGACTAGTGGTGGAGAGCTTCTGCTCCAGGGCCAGACAAACGTTTGCGAAGAAACTTTCTCTGAAAGAGACACCACAATCAGTTACGGGATCTACGTTGGCGAAGAAATTTTCTCTTTATTTTTTTTATTTAGTAGAGGGTTTTAGGGCGCGCGCAGATGCATAAGGTCATATGAGCGCGACAGACAGCACAATCAGTTACGGGATCTACATTAGCGAAGAAACTTTCTCTGAAACAGACGTCACAATCGATTACGGGATCTACGTTGGCGAAGAAACTTTCTGTGAAACAGACGCCACAATCAGTTACGGGATCTATGTTGGTGAAGAAACTTTCTCTGAAACAGACATCACAATCGATTACGGGATCTATGTTGGCGAAGAAACTTTCTCTGAAACAGACATCACAATCGATTACGGGATCTATGTTGGCGAAGAAACTTTCTCTGAAACAGACATCACAATCGATTACGGGATCTACGTTGGCGAAGAAACTTTCTCTGAAACAGACGTCACAATCGATTATAGGATCTAACTACTCTGACAACACAAGCAAACTCCACACTGTGGAATCTGTTTCCCTCTTTATCTCCGGCAAGCCGCTCCCAGCAGCTCGCAGTCGGAACCACTGTGCCGGTGGGCCGTTGACAGCGACTCGGGCACATTTCTTTACGACGACTTCGACATCAAATTACATTTTGGCAACTGCCAAAAACAGGTCCCTTATACCGGAAGTTCATTCATTAGATGAAGAACTATCCAAATAGGTTTGCTAGTTCCCATTTAAGGACCAATTTAACTACGTTTTTGTCATTTTTAGATTTAGCACCAAAAAATGGCCCCGGCGTAGTGGGGTTACCCCTCTCGGAGCTAAAAAGTTAAACAAAAATATCCGTGAGACCTCCCGATTTTCTTCAGATTAGCTGGGTTTTCACTTTACAGAAGTTGTTACAATTGAAGAAAGAACACCCAAAAAAATAACAACAGGGATTTGATTTTCTTTCAGTTTAAATTGGGTTACTGCTGTTTCTGGATTCATGTTGTTCCCTTTAAAGAGGACTCCCAATGTGTCTGGATGCAGTACCAGTAGGCACTTCTGGGGATTTGCACTAGGGTCTTCCACACTATAGTCTAGCGTACGATACCACGCACTCACTACACTCCCAAACAAACAGCAGTCTAGCACGCACATCGCAAATGGAATTTTCAAGCTCGAGATTTTTTAAAATATAGGTTTATCCTTGTTTTAGTAGACGTTTTACGGTGCTCGCAACTGCATAAGGTCACATGAGCGCCAGAAGATTATAGGTTTGAAAGGAAAAAAGAAGCAAACCACACAGCACCCGCCAACCACCCACATAGGTTTATTCTTTGTATAGAAAACACAAACACAGCGAAAATGAACATCACAAAAAGAATTTTTGTCCGGGTCAAAAACTACTATGTGCAGGCTAGACTAGATGGAAGGAGGTGGGGGGGGGGGTCACCTGGTGTCAGAGGTAAATAGCGAGAAAATGGTCATCTAAGTTAGGTTACTTTCAAAGCTTGAGAGGCCTTGAAAACTGCAATTTTTCTATTTTTAAAATTTTTGTTGTTGCTTTTAATAAATGTTTTTCAATAAAATCATGTCATAATTTTTTTTTTTAATGGACTTATGGAGCCAAAGATATAATTTAAAAAAAATGAAAATTGGCCAACCGTCGCAAAAAATACAATTTCTCTGACGTTACTATTTTCACGAGCGTCTGATTTCCCCACGATGCCCCACTCAAAATGGGAAACTTTTCCCTAGAGTAAAAATTGTTGGCAGACAAACCTGGGCACAGGAAGCCCGCCCCTCTCACAGCGCAGGCTTGTCGCGATGCTGCACAGCTCCGCGCTTCTCCGAGTGTCTGCGTTCACATTCAGACCAATCCCCAGGATCATAAGGCACTTGTTGGAACCTGGTGGGGATGGGGGGGGGGGGGGGGGGGGGGGGGAACAGTTAGTTTTAGTTTAGTTTTAGTAGAGGTTTTACGGTGCTCGCAACTGCATAAGGTCATATGAGCGCCAGAAGATTAGAGGTGTTACCAGAGAGTAACAAACATAAAAAAGAAGAAGGGGAGATAAGGACGATAGATGTTTGATAGGAAAGAAGAAGCAAACCACACCAGAGCACCCGTCAACCACCCACGGGGGGACAGTTATGATGATGCAATATTGACACCAACGAAGAAGTAGTAAGGAAAACAAGACAGGTCCCAGTCAGAGATGAGGTAGGAAGACGGGCTTCACTCACAAATATATACTTTTTTAGTTTTAGTTAGTAAGAGTTTTACGCCGCTTGCAACACAATAAGGTCATATAAGTGCCGAAGATTAGAGGTGCTACAAGAGAGTTACAAACATAAAAAAGAAGGAGGGCAGATAAAGACGACAGTTGTTGTAGTTTTTAGTTTTAGTAGAGGTTTTACGGCGCTCGTAACCGCATAAGGTCATATGAGCGCCAGAAGATTAGAGGTGTTACAAGAGAGTAGCAAAACATAAAAAAGAAGGAGGAGAGATAAAGACGATAGATGTTTGATAGGAAAGAAGGAGCAGACCACACCAGAGCACCCGCCAAACACCCACTAAATTATTATACTTTACACAAGGAACGGAAAAGCTGAGGTAAGAACGTAAGCACATATACAGTCAGTCAACACCACACAACAACTGAGGTAAGAACGTAAGCACATATAGAGTCAGTCAACACCACACAACAACTGAGGTGAGAACGTAAGCACATATACAAATCTTCCAACTTAGAACACAACATGTACCCCTCAACCAACATCTCAACCGAATTGGAGTAAAGCAGTCTGCTGCCTGCCCACTATGTGACTACCCCTCAGAGACAGTGGAACATCATCTGTTTTTCTGTAGAAAACTAACTGATTTAAGGGGATGTTTTCTTCCCAAGCTACCCCACACATCTAATTGCCTCTACTCCTCAACACAACAATTAGAACAAACATGCAACTATTACCGAATGGCATCATGCAGAAGAGTTAACGCTCAGATGCTACTGGATCGCTAACAACAACAACAAGCACATATACAGTCAGTCAACACCACACAACAACTGATGGTTCACATGCACGTCCATGATCTATCTCCTGGGGAGGCATTGCGCTGCCAAGAGCGAAATGCTCGCAGCTAAAGGGATTTGAAAACAACAACAGCAACAACTCTTTCAAGCCCAATCATATTTCAGGATATAACAATGTATTTCAAAAACAGCTCAAAACATTGCAGGCAGGTCACGTGGTATGTCCGGACATTGGTTCAACAACTGAGAAAGGACTTAATGAATTTTTCCCAAGTACTGTCAAGAAGAAGAAAAAAAATGACCACAGAATACTTTTCGACTGAAAGTTCACACAAAGTAATTCAATTTTCAAGGAAATCCGGGCAGTGCCACTGACTGTAGTGTCTTTCAGCCATTCCCAAAGGGGGGACATTTCTCGTTCAAGCACAGTAGAATTGTAAATGGGCTGATTCATGTCCCGCTCATAACTGTGCCTGATCTAAAACAGGGAACTGCTGCTTTTTCTTTCCTAATCCTTACAATTGTCATTTTCCTCTACTTCTTTTGTATGTTTGTCACACTCTTTCTTGTGACCTGCTATTTCCGGGGTGCCTTGATGGTCGAAGCAGACCTTGTGCTGTTCAAGCTAGAGAGGTGAGCAGAGTAAGTCTGATTCCCTGTAAAGACTTCTCTGTTGACACCCACCTCTTGGCGCTCATGTGACCTTATGCGGTTGCGAGCGCCGTAAAACCCTCTACTATTAAAAAAAGACCTCCGTTGGATTCAAAATGAACATTCTATAACTCGAAAGTTCTTTTTATTAAAAGAAATATCAATTCTAGTTTTAGTTTCAGTAAGAGTTTTAAGGCACCTACAACACAATAAGTTCATATAAGTGCCGAATGATAGATGTGCTACAAGAGAGTAAGACACACAAAAAAGGAGGAGGAGAGATAAGGATGATAGATGTTTGACAGGAAAGAAGGAGCGAACCACACCAGAGCACCCGCCAACCACAACCCACCCTAGAAAAAATTCTACTGTTTAACACAAATCCAATACTATACGTACCGGGTATTTCAAATTTTCCGTCCTCAGCCAAAAAACCGGCCAGCTTATGACCTCTGACCCACACATCGTTCGGCCATTTTGCTTTGGCGGTTGTGACCCCGAGCTGTTGGACTGTATCAAGCACAGCCAAGCAAGCCGCTACTTCTAGGCCAAATCTTCCTTCGAATGTCTGCAAAGAAAGACAAAACAAAAGGACATTTATAAAATACAAACACGCGCAGTGGAGTCAGGCACTCGTCAGTTTTCTAGCATGTGGAGTTATTGATGTATAATCTTACAGGTTTTTTGTATTTATCTTTCTTTTGATGAAAATAAACATTCATTTATTTTGGAGGCAACTCCAGATATTTGTGATACAAGGAGGTGGGGACTCAGACATAAAATTGGCAAGAAAATGGCAGCCAAAATTTAGTTATTTCCTTACCAGGAGAGTACATGGAAACAGAAAACTTACATTTTTCATGCCTTTAATTGACGTTTTTCAGTACAATCCACACAGAAATGTGTTCTTTAATGGACACGGAGGGTGTTGAGCCAAAAAACAAAAATCCGATAAAAATTCCCAAAGCTAGGGAAAAATGCCAGTTTCTTCCCTTTGATTGTTTTGCCAAGCGCCTGACTTCACCACGCTGCCTCACAAATCTATACACAGTCAATAGTTAAGCTATCACAGGATTACTGATCTCCATCAAAAGATATATTCTGCAGCATGATAAATACATACATGCACTCAGGCTATAAAGGAAGAGGAAGGCCACGCAAAAGGTGGATTGAGGGGGTCAAGGAAACCCTGAGAAATTATAATATCACAACTGAAAGAGCTGCGGAGATGGCCTACCATAGAAAACTGCATCTCCCCTCGACGCCTGACGGCAACAGAGGAATGAAAAAGTACAAGTAAAAGCAAAAGTAAAGTAAAGCACACAGATAGAGCTTGCTATACAGCATAAAGACATGCAGCATACATACAAAAATCATTATTTATATTAAATCATCCCTTTAACTTGTTCACTACCAGCTGGTTTTTCTCACCTGGACCAAGCCCTATCTGTGACCTACTTTCTGATTTTGCCTACCGTCGGACACATTAAAGAGTTTTTACTTCAATTTTCAATAACAGCCACATGTATCATATGAAAATAAAGGGGAAATAATGACCTATCTCAACATGTTGCTAAAAACGATAATTCTTCAGCCTGAGATTTCAGATTCAATTATTACAAAAGTAGGTGTGGTTTCGAAGCAGGAAGTCCAGCGTTGGGGGTATCACAAGCAACGAAACACGGCTTGTGGCAGTGAAAGAGTTTTTTAAGGATGGATAGATCATTACAACAACATCGTGTATCTCACCGCAGAGCTCGCGGGCAGTGAAAGAGTTTTTTAAGGATGGATAGATCATTACAACAACATCGTGTATCTCACCGCAGAGCTCGCGGGCAGTGAAAGAGTTTTTTAAGGATGGATAGATCATTACAACAACAT